TGCAAAAGTTTATATAATTCCTTATTTATGAACTACAACGTTTAATTTTTTTAGCAGTAAAAAAAAGTTTCGTAATTTGAACATGTTTTCAGTGGAATGTAATTTATTTTCAAAATATTACAAAAAGATTTACATTATTTTAAAAATAATGATAATTTAATTTTTCCTCTCAAAGAATATAAATAAATATTTCATTAAAAAAAAAAAAAAATCTGTATATCAAATATTGTGTTTTCTTTAATACACCTAGTAGTTTCCACTTGTGTAACCAGTTTCCTCAGATGTGCTTTTTTTTAATGGAACTCAAAATAACAAAAAAATTATCACAAAAAGAAATTAAACAAAATTTTATTTTCAAACAATATACTTAAATAAATAGTAATTAACTTTTATCATAAATAGTAATTAACTTTTTTTTATCTCAACCAAAAAAAAAAACAAAAAAATCTTTCCAATTTCTAAAAAAGCTAATGGTAACATTATTTGAAAAAAATATCGCTTTTAAAATACCAAAATAAATCTCAGCAAAGAATAACTTTTAAAAAACGCGCTTTTTTTTTTGATAAAAAGCCTAAGTCTAAAGGTAAGCAATTTCATTAAATACGATCCTAAGCAGATTCATCAAGTACTATCATAATTTAAAAACATGACAACAGCTTATGTATTACTTCATGTAACCCACGGAATTAACAGTAGATAAGCATAAAATATTGAAGATGTAATTGATTTTTGATGATCTTGTTTCGTTCTGATGTAATTACAAAATATTGAATAATAAAAAGTTCTAAAGGAGATGGTAAATTTTTTTGAAAAGCATAACAATCAAAGAATATTAACTATTCAACCAAGAAATTAAAATAAATAACACCGTTGAATTTGCATAAATATCCTTAACCAAAAAGTTTGACGAAAAAATCATTAGTTTATCCGTAAGAGAGATTATACAATCTTAGGAACCTTCGTATCTTCTGAAACCTTCCCTAAAGATATTTTTTTGATAATCACGTGATTTGATTTTGATAATCACGTGATTTTGATAATCACGTGATGTGATTTTGATAATCACATTTGATAATCAATATAAAAACGAGCGTGACGTCATGAGTTTATCAAAAAAAAAAGTATAAAAATTCACAAACTTTAAACTAATAGTAACTTTTTTATATAAATGCTTTCATCTTGCAATTAAAAAAATATAAAAGATCTATCATTCCTTGTTAAATAAATATTTACATTAATTGGTATAAAAATAAATATTGCCAAAATATTTTAAATATTTTAGAACCACTTTTCTAATTTTCGCATATTTTCCAGAAAACATTTCATAACATAGCTCAGTGCTTGATAGTTGAAATTTGGAACACTTAACCCTAAATGCCCATTCTATCCGATTCCTTTGTCATCCTAGAGATTTTTTTACAAAAAGATTGTTTTTAAAGCATTTATGTTTTTTAAATAATCGTTTTTAAATGCAAAACGTAACTTTTTTGATGGATGACGTAAGTTAATGAAATTTCAACCTTTTATGCAAATGAAAATAAAAAAATTATTTTACTTGCCTTTAGCTATGTTATGAAATATGTTTTCGAAAATGTCATGTTTTACAACTAATCTTGTTAGTTTTAGGCGTACATTTGTGTTGACGCTTTTTTGCGATGACGTAACCTTTATGCGTTACGTCCCAAACTATTTATTTACAAATATTCTCCAAACAACTGTTTCGGCGAGTCAATTTTTGAAGTATAAGGTAAACAAAGTTACGCGGAATTTTTCTCTTTGAATTAACAGATAAGTTGTTAAATCCACTTTTATCTAGTGCATAAATTTGTTAATTAATATTATTTTATTTGTTTTTATTATCGCTTATAATTAATACTTAACTTAACGCTGCCGCTGCTGCTGCTCACCATTCGTGCACCTTTACACGGACTTTTTTACCATACTTGGCCTTTGAGTTTTATTATAAATTGCTTTACTTCTGAACTCGCGTAATGAGGCTCTTTCAAATCTTAATAATCTGTCAGTATCTGCTTAATCAGTAATGAGATCAAAAACTTTGTTTCATCAGCTTAATTAGTGATAAGATCAACAATTTTTATTTGATAACTTCTGTAGTAAAGGATGAACATTATGTTATTATTGAATTAGTAAAGTAACTTTTAAAGTCAGGTGATTTATTTAAATCATGCATTTTAGTCTTTTGTCAATTGTATTTAAATTTATTAATTTATAAAATTAATCTCTAATTTTTAAATTAAAAGACGACTCAAGAAGACGTTGCTCATTTCAAAGGTCAAGAGGTCAAACTCTTGATAAAGTTAGTGTTTAAAACACTTGCATCTCACACGGTCAACTCAATGTTACATGTTAAAGAACAAGATCGTTTAATACCTTATTTAAAAGAAGTTATAAAAATTCGTATAAAAAACCAGATTTTTTGATAGTTTGTTTTTGAAAGTTGTTAAACATTTATTACAAGGTATTTCAAAAAACAAAAATAAGGTTGTATTTGTAAAGTTTCAAATTTATATATTTTTCTTAATTTATATATTTATCTATATATGTGTGTTATTTATATTGTGTTTTATTGTGTATATATGTGTTAAGGTTATATGGGTTTATATTTTGTAAGTGTGTAAATATATGAAATGTTTCAATGTTTGTGGTGTGTTATATGTAATATGTTTATAGTTTGTAAGTGATAATTATGTTGTTTGCATGGTTTCAAATTGTTGTGACTGGGCTTAGTTTACAGCAAGATTGTTGACCTCACTAGCCAAGTAGTGTACTTTGCTATAATGTGACCTGGCTTTGTTGAGAGCAAAAATATTGTCCTCGCCAGCAGAGTGGTGTATTGTCATAATAAAACACATAAATTAATTCTGTTTGTAATTAGTGTATTTCTAAAATGTGTTGAAAAAATATTGTTTAAAAAATGTGTTTTAATGTTGTTATCCTCTGTTCTTAACAATGTATGCTTTTGACAATAAATAAATTTTGTTAAAAAGCAGGCTTTACTAACAGCTCCTCCTCATTAAAATTCTTAAGAGTTTCGATTTTCTTCATTAATTATGTTTAACTCAAATTTTTTTTATATATATAAAAGTAAGTATACAGCGTGTTGAAGCATAAGTTTTAATAACTTTTGTTAAATTTTTAGGATTTTTTGTATGGAGAATGTTTTCTTTATATTATTATTTTAATGTTTTGTATGTACATCAATATATATATATATATATATATATATATATATATATATATATATATATATATATATATATATATATATATATATATATATATATATATATATATATATATATATATATATATATATATATATATATATATATATATATATATATATATATAGACACACACACACAATAAAATATATAGAATTAAAATGTCTATACATATATTATATGTATAGACATTTTAATTTTTTTGCCTTAAATTATTGTCCCTTTTTCTTTAGAATATTAAATATCTAAAAAAAAAATAAAATAGTAAAAGAAGTTTCAATATTTCCAAGTTTCTTCACTTGAAGCAAATATATGATTGTTTATAGAGGTTCTTTTAGTAGTTTTGTATTTATTTATTGCAAATCTTGCGTTAAATGCCTTTCAAAGTAATGAAAGGGTTTTGTTGATGGATGATTACATTTTATCCTTCCATGCTAGCAGTACCTGCTGAGTTGACAGGCCTTAAATTTTTTTAATTTGCTTTATTTATGAGTTCTTATATATAAAAAATTTGTTTTTTAAATTACATTTGTTTTTTTTGTTTTTTTTGATTAAATACTTATAATATTTTGTCAGTAATTGATAACAACTACCATAATTATATAAACAATACTTAGTTGAAAATATTACATTAATTTATAACTTTAGTTTAAGTTTTTAATAAAACTATGTTATCTTAACACAATGCTATATATGGTAGAATATAATAGATTATAGTATTATGCTCTGTATTATTTGCTTACACTTTATTTTAGATAAGTTTAAAAAAGAAACTTCAACTTTTATTATATTAGGCATCATTTTTACACACTCCTTTGATGCCTAATTATGTCTAATAATTTAAGAAATGAAATTATTAGACTTCGTCAAAATGAAAGAAGGCAGGCTAGGCGAGCTGAGATAAACCGCCGTCGAAATGAAAGAGATGAGCCCAGGCGAGCTGAGATAAATCGTCGTCGAATTGAAAGAGATGAGCCCAGGCGAGCTGAGATAAATCGTCGTCGAATTGAAAGAGATGAGCCCAGGCGAGCTGAGATAAATCGTCGTCGAATTGAAAGAGATGAGCCCCGGCGAGCTGAGATAAATCGTCGTCGAATGGAAAGAGATGAGCCCCGGTGAGCTGAGATAAATCGTCGTCGAATTGAAAGAGATGAGCCCCGGTGAGCTGAAATAAATTGTAATCAAAATGAAAGAAATCAGGCTAGGCGAGAACTTAATAAGTATAATATGCATCGCATAGCAAGAAATAATATTGCTTTAGAGAGTAACTACCTCGGAGAATTAAACCATAATTGTCAGTATTGCAGTGCAAAGAAGTTTTTAAATGAAATTCATTTTTTGTGCTGCCATTCAGGAAAAGTTGTATTAGCTCCTCTTTCTCTTTATCCGCCATTGTTGACTGGTTTAATGACAGGAAACCATGTTGATCATGCTGTAAATCAAAATTTTTTTAAACACATAAGGAGTTATAATTCCTCTTTATCTTTTGCTTCCTTCACTGCCGAAATAGCTCCTCCCTCAAATAATGGCCCTTTCTGTTTTAGAGTCTGTGGGCAAATTTTGCATCGTGTTGGAAATTTAAGGCCTGCAGAAGGTTGTCTGCCCAAATATTGTCAGCTGTATATCTATGATTCTAATGCAGCAGTGTCATTCAGAATGGAACAACCTGGTAATGATGGTTGTATACATGAGTTAATGCAACTCTTGCAAACATTAATTAATCAAGAAAACCCATTTGCTCTTGCATTTAAAAACATGGCAGAAGTAGAGGATGAAGAAATCCGCCAAGCAGCTTTAGAAGGTAGACCAACCTCTGTTGTAAGAATGTCTTTGCTTGAAGGTCATGATAGACGTCGATACAATCTTCCTTCCCATGAGGAAGTTGCTATTGTGTTTGTGGGAGATGATGGTGCTCCACCTGCATCCAGGGAAATTGTTATATACCCTCGAGGTCAGCCTTTAAGAACAATTTCGTCTATGTCTGCAAATTTGGATCCTTTGGTATATCCAATATTCTTCCCGAGAGGTGATGCTGGATGGCACAATCAACTAGAGCACAACCCTGACCGTGCAACCCGTGTTAGAAACCATGTTACTTTGTCTCAGTATTATAATTATAGGCTTGCTGTTAGACAAACTTTTAGTCCTATATTCTATGGTAAGAAACTTTTTCAGCAATATGTTGTTGATGCATATGTCAAAGTTGAGAGACAGCGCCTTGCTTTTATTAGAAATAACCAAAACAAACTTAGAAGTGAGCAATATGATGCATTGCATGAACATGTAATTAACCGTGCTAATGATCTTAATGTAAGACCAGGCCGTGTTGTTATATTGCCTTCTTCATATGTTGGTAGTCCAAGAGCATTAAAAGAAAACTTTGAAGATGCGATGGCAGTCATAAAGAAATATGGTAAACCAGATCTATTCATTACTTTTACCTGCAATCCAAAATGGAGAGAAATAGTAGAAAATTTAAACCCAGGCCAAACTGCTAATGACAGACCTGATTTAGTTTGTCGGGTATTTAAAATGAAACTTAAATTTTTCTTAGAGGATATTTTTAAGCATGGAGTCTTAGGCAAAGTTGTAAGTCATGTGCAGGTTATTGAGTTTCAAAAGCGTGGTTTGCCACATGTACATATTTTATTGCACTTTGTAAATGCTGATAAGCTAGAAACAGCAGAAGATATTGATAGTTTGATATTAGCAGAAATCCCAGACCCAGCTGTTGATCCTGAACTTTTTGAAATTATAAAATCATGCATGATACATGGACCATGTGGAATTTTAAATCCCAATTCTCCCTGCATGAAAGATGGTAAATGCACAAAAAAATTTCCTAAGGAATTTAATCCCCACACTGTTGCAATTTTTATTGGTTATCCACGCTATAGGCGCGTCGATAATGGAAGAATTGTAAATATAAAAGGTAATCAAGTTGACAACCGTTGGGTTGTACCTTATAACCCATGGCTTTCTAAAAAATATCAAGCACACATAAATGTTGAAGCCTGCATGACCATAAAGTCAGTTAAGTATTTATATAAGTACATTTACAAAGGGCATGACTGTGCCAATGTGGTGATAAATGAGCAAGTTAACCATGATGAAATAAACACGTTTTTAAATTGTCGCTATGTCTCAGCTCCAGAAGCATTGTGGCAAATATTTGAGTATTCTTTAAGTGATATGTCACATAACATCATTCGACTTCAGGTTCATCTGCCAGATAATCAGATGATATATTTTGTAGAAGGCGAAGAACAGGCAGCTTTAGACCGTGCAGCACAGCGTGACACTCACCTAACTGCATGGTTTAAATTAAATGTTGAAAATGAACAAGCCCGACACTATCCATATGTTGAAATTCCTTACCACTTTGTTTTTGATAGCAAACGTTGTAAATGGAAAGTTAGGCAAAGAGGTAGCAATAAGGTGATTGTTAGGATGTATAAAGTGAGTCCAATAGGTGAAATATTTTATATTAGAATGTTACTTTTGCATGTTAGAGGTGCAGTTTCTTTTGAAGATTTGCGTACTGTTAATGGTACAGTTTTTAATACATTCTGAGAAGCATGTTCTCAATTAGGTCTGTTACAAGACGACGCTGAATGGAGAAATACATTAACTGAGGCTGCTGCAACTCGGTTGCCAAATCAAATTAGACAGTTGTTTTCCATTATTTTGACTTTCTGTGAACCTGATGATCCATTAAATCTTTGGAATGCCTTTAAAGATTTTATGATGGAGGATTACATTCACCATTCCATGCCACCAATAATTGCTGAGCAGGCAGCTTTGCGTCAAATTGAATCTATAATTAATCAGAATGGTAAGACTTTAGCTGATTTTAATCTTCCTACTTTAGATGAGTTTTTAGATTATGTCCCACAAAATGAAGAGGAAGATGTTCAGGTTTTAATTGATGAAGCAAATAGGGTTAGACCATTGTTAAATGATAATCAGCGTCAAATTGCTGATGCTATCCTTTCTGCTCTTAGTGAGCAACCTAACAATGAAAACAAGCAGTCTAGATTGTTTTTTATGGATGGCCCTGCAGGTTGTGGTAAAACATTTACATACAATTATTTAATCGCTGAAACCAGCAGTAGACATATTATAACTGCAACAGCTGCATGGACAGGAATAGCTGCAACTCTTTTAAAAAAAGGATGTACACTTCATGGTTTGTTCAAACTTCCTGTGCCGATTTTGGAAAATAGCACATGCAATGTAACTCCAAATTCTATACACGGAAAATTCTTGAGGCAAGTTAGCCTTTATTTACTAGATGAGGCATCCATGATACCTAAACATGCTTTAAATGCCATTGATAAGTTACTTCAAGACGTTTGCAATAACAAGTTTCCTTTCGGTGGTAAAGTTATTCTTATGGGTGGGGATTTTAGGCAAATACTTCCGGTTGTAAAGAGAGGGCAACCAGCTGATATTGTTGAAGCCTGTATAAAATATTCTCAACATTGGCAATATGTTCAGCGATTTTCATTAACAGAAAATATGAGGGTTCAGGCCGAAGAAGAGGAATTCTCTCAATGGCTTTTAAAACTTGGTAGTGGAACATTACCTTTAAAAGCAGATGGTTCCTTTCGCGGGTGCATTGAGGATCCTGAGCAATGCTTGCTTGGAGAAAATGAATCTTTAGTAGACAAGATTTTTGGAGTTGCAGAAGAAGATGATTATGCTAAACGTGCCATTTTGACACCCAATAATGTTGATTCTTTAGCAATAAATGAAGAAGTTTTGGACCGTTTACCAGGTGACGTTAAGGTTTATTTAAGTGCTGATACTATTGAAACAGATGATCTTAACGAAATCAATAATTTTCCTGTTGAGTTTTTAAACAGTCTTACTCCATCAGGAATGCCTGTTCATTGCCTAAAGCTAAAAATTGGTGCTGTTATAATGTTACTTCGAAATTTAGATCTAAAAGCTGGACATTGCAATGGTACCCGATTGATAGTGCGTGCTCTACAAAATAATTACATTGATGGGCAAGTTCTAACAGGTGTTTCAGTTGGCAAGAGGGTATTTGTCCCTCGGGTTCAGTTAACACAATCTGATTCAAATTTACCTTTTACTCTTAAGCGTCGTCAATTTCCTGTAAGATTAGCATACTCAATGACCATAAATAAAAGTCAAGGTCAAACTTTTGACAAAGTTGGTATTTATCTCAAAAACCTATGCTTTTCACATGGTCAACTCTATGTTGAATGTTCAAGAACAAGATGGTTTAATACCTTATTTTTTAAAATTGATGAGCATTCATTACAAGGTATGTCATTTAACAAATGCTACACAAACAATGTTGTATTTACCAATGTACTAAATCTATAAATAATTAATTTTTTACAATTAAACTCCTCATTTCTTATAAATATTTTAACTGTAATTTAAAGTATTTTTGTGTGTTGCTTGATGCAGTAATGTGTGATATTTATTATGTGTTTAAATATGTGTTAAGGTTATATTTTGTAAGTGTTTATGTGTAACTAATGTGTAAATGACTGTTATATGTGAAGTGTATTTTTTATGTTATCTGTTTATAGTTTGTGAGTTGTTATTATGTTGTTTTCATGGTTTCAAAGTGGTGTGACTTGGCTTTGTTTATGGCAAGAGTGTTGTCCTTGCTAGCCAAACGGTGTACTTTGATTAATGTGACTTGGCTTTGTTTATGGCAAGAGTGTTGTCCTTGCTAGCCAAGCGGCGTACTGACATGAAACACATAATAAAATCTGTTTGTAATCACAAAATGTGTACTTGCAAGTATGTTATGCTGTTAGTAAATAAAGTATTTACAATAAAGTCTGGATAACTCAATAAATCAACTTAAATAAATCAAACTAATTTTAAAATTCCAGTTGAGCGATTGTTTATGGATCATACTACCACTAACTGAAATATTTTCTAATAAGCTAATTGCTGGATCCTTTGGTGGTTTAAGTTATTGAGTCTTTACTGTAAGATTTTGTGCTATTTGTTATTGATGTTTGTGATGTTACTGTTGTGATGTTTTGTGTTGATAGACGACTTGGCTTACCTTCACGTCGGTGTCTATCGTTAAAAATGATTATAGGGTTGTTTCATACTGAAACTGACTATATATAATCATTCACTAAAAGCCAAGCATTCAATTTTTATATTAAACTGTAAGGGTTTATCTTTTTTTGATTATTTTTAGTGTGCTTTTTTTGAAAAGAGTTTATAATCGAAACTTGCAACAAAAAATCTTGAAACCTTTACACAAAACCTATTCACACAAAAAAAACAATCTCAAAGTAAGTTTCTTATTTGATATCGCCTTGGTCACACTTTTGAGTTTTTAAATAAAAGAGTACATTAATGTGTTATGTTTTCAATAATTTTGTTTTATTTTAGTTCAAATGCCTTCTCTTAATGTTGATCGTTTTTTAACATCCAAAGGGAAGTTTTGTTAATCTTTATACCATTTACTAAAAGATATATTATAGGGAAACAAATCGAATTGATTTTATAAAGTACTTCTGATACTTTTTATGTTATATATAATAGATATTGTAAAATTTAAAAAAAAAAAAATTATTTTTTCAATTTTATCTCAAGAAAAATGTTTTTTGTTTCTCACACAAATTTGTAAAATTTTTCTCTTTGGAATTATAGTATTTGATGGATACATTGCTCATTTTGCTTTTTTTATATATATCTCCGTTATATATGAATGGAAACCGTTAATACTTTTATTACCATGGTAATTACAGATCTAGATAGTTCCATTCCCATTAAGTATTTTACAAATTTTCGGTACAAATAATAGCTATAGTAGTTTAATAATTTGCTAATTTATAAACATTTAGAAAAATTTGTTGCGAGTTTATTGTAGAAAATTTGCTTTTCAAACAAATAGAGCTAATTTTTGACATAATTAGGATTCGTCACCTGATTCTTTGTCAAATACTTCTCCTTTTTAAATAGGAAAGGTTAAATTTTATAAAAAAAGTTTGCCAAAACACTGGGAGAAATGTCACGTAATTGGTAACTATGTTAAATACACTTTTGTTAGGTCCACGTAATTTTCGAATCTGCTCATCACTACGTTAGATGGCGTTATTTCTTTAAAATACCTTAAAAATCTTCAATTCAAAGTTTTTGTTTCGAATCATCAAAATATTGGCATATGATATAAATATACGATTCTAATAAACCAAAAGTATGTGGAAAAATTGCGCATACTTAGGCATCATAAAAACTTAATTCACACCAACCATTTACTTCGATATTTTTTAGTGTATGGCAGAAAAATAAATTACGAATTGTCTTAGATAAATAAAGTTACCGGACCTTTATTACTTAATCCATAAACAATTATTGTTTCATTCGATTTAACACCACAATAAAAAACAAAGCTTTTTCTATTTATTTTCGAAAAACGTTTTACTGGAAACCGAGTTCTTTTGTAGCATTTTAGTTAGAGTTATAGAAAAATCTATAACTCTTATTTTGTTAAGTAAAAAAAAAATCTTATGAAAAAATCTTCTAATTTTAGTCACCAATAACAACTATGTTAGGAATAGTAGAAAATGTTATGTGTGGTAGAGAAACTGTTTTAGTGTGGTGTTGTAGGAGTACTGCGGGTCTAAGAAACTTTGTTTTCATCAATAAATTATTCTATTGGTCTATTAAAACAGTATGAAAACTTTCCAGTATTTATATTTGATGTCTTTTTTTCATTTTATTTTATAATTGTAATTTAAGTTTCAAAAAGCAGCAAAAACAACTTGAAAAGAACTATCGCACAATGACTCGCTTAAACACAGGATTCCAATTTCCTGATATACATGGAAATGCTGATATTGCTTTCACTATATCGTCTCTTTGTAATGTGTAACATCATTTTTACTTAGGTTTGCCAAATGACCGGCTTTTACAGAGTAGAATATAGTCCCAAACATATACAGTTCAGTTCTTTTACTGCTTTCTTCTTCATAAAAGCCGGACGTCTTGCAACCCTTGAATTTCCCCTTCTTTTTGTTTGCATAAATTACATAATTCTCTTAATTATAAATACTCCAAATCCGATTTTCGAACAGCGTATTTTAAAATCTAAAGAAATATAAGCGATTAAAGATTACATTTTGCAAGCCAACTGGATGCTTAAACAACTCAAAAGACAGCCACGCGCTCATTATAACTCTCTTATAGTTTTGGAATCTGAGTGAGTTACTGTTTTGATCTAAAATCTTCAAATTAAGTTTTTATGATTTTAAGTTAAATTAGACTTAAGAATATGTGTAAGAATTGAGAATAAATATTTACTTTTTATTTTAGAAATGAACACACAAGAAAATTTAAACGGTATGTATTTATTGCATATGTGTGTTAGTGCTATATGCGCTTATATTAGATATTATATCTATATATCTATATATATCTAATATATGCGTATACAGCACAAACGCTATACTTTATTTAGTACGCATATATAAATATATAAATATAAATAGACAAAAAATTTACACTCTTATAAACAGTGTTGGGTTAACTGATAGACAAAATAAGCACTGCTATCATATTTTATTTATTGGAAATAAATAAAAATATCAAGTAATTCTCTTTTTAGACGATGATGGTGACTTTTTTAGAAGTAAGTAAACTATAATTTCTTTAGAAGTAAACAATTTTTATTTATATAAAGTGATAGTTATAAAAAATTTATTTCAAGTATGGAGAAATCAGTAGCATATTTTTTATCAAATATTTGTATACTAATAGTAATTTGATTGTTGGTAATAGTTATATAGTTATATACACGCAGCTATTTAATAGTGAAATTTCATTATTATATGTAAAATTCAAATCTTGAAATAAGAAAAAAATCTTTATGTGTTTTTCAACTAGAAACTTGGAATTTATTTTCTAGACCAGATGTTGTGATTATTATATTTTCTAGACTAGATGTAGTGCTTTATTATATGATATGCTAAATGTATATATTGTATTGTGTGTATATCTTAGATGCGCAGGAGATAGTGGCAGAAGAGACAGAGTCTTTTCTGTCTTATTTGAAAGAATTCTTAGAAAATCAAAGTTAGCATTTTCTATTTTTTCTTTTTTACTTCAGTTTTTTCGAAGTTTATGTTACAGTAAATAAATTTATGAACTAATCTTTCATACATTTTGTTTATTTAGAAAATTTAGAAAGTAGAGTTAGTAAGCAAAATTTCATTATATTACTTTTATGTATATTAAATAAAAAATAATGAGGTTGGCTTTAGTAATTTGTTCATCTATTTAGAAAAATTAGAAGATTTACAAAAGTCCATAGGTGAGTAAAATTGCTTTTATGTTTATTATACACCCTAATTATTTATGTACATCTAATATTAAATGCGTTTTTTCAATTTGAGATTAGTTTTGGACTTTGTACTTTTTGGTCAATTTTTTTAGATATCATTTTAAACTACATTTGTAAGTAACTATATTATGTTTTATGTCTCATAAAAGTTTTAATAAATAATATAATGTAATCACTTATATAGTGACAAATCCAACTTCCTCAGTAACGTATGTTGTTGTACTCACTTAGACTTGACTTATTACATTGATTGATTGTTTTTATTGCATTTTTAATTTTCTTTTATTTATCTCTAGCTGCTGCTTCTTCTGTTACAAGTAAGTTGTTCTATTCACTTATACTTGACTTAATTTATGAATTAATTGGTTTTATTGCATTTTTAATTTTCTTTTATTTATCTCTAGCTGCTGCTTCTTCTGTTACAAGTAAGTTGTTCTATTCACTAATACTTGACTTAAATTGGATTAATTGGTTTTATTGCATTTTTAACTTTTTTTTATTTATCTCTAGCTGCTTCTTCTGTTATAAGTAAGTCACTTTTACTTAACTTATTACATTGATTGATTGTTTTTATTGCATTTTTAATTTTCTTTTATTTATCTCTAGCTGCTGCTTCTTCTGTTACAAGTAAGTTGTTCTTTTCACTTATACTTGACTTAATTTATGGATTAATTGGTTTTATTGCATTTTTAATTTTCTTTTATTTATCTCTAGCTGCTGCTTCTTCTGTTACAAGTAAGTTGTTCTATTCACTTATACTTGACTTAATTTATGGATTAATTGGTTTTATTGCATTTTTAATTTTCTTTTATTTATCTCTAGCTGCTGCTTCTTCTGTTACAAGTAAGTCACTTTTACTTAACTTATTACATTGATTGATTGTTTTTATTGCATTTTTAATTTTCTTTTATTTATCTCTAGCTGCTGCTTCTTCTGTTACAAGTAAGTTGTTCTTTTCACTTATACTTGACTTAATTTATGGATTAATTGGTTTTATTGCATTTTTAATTTTCTTTTATTTATCTCTAGCTGCTGCTTCTTCTGTTACAAGTAAGTTGTTCTATTCACTTATACTTGACTTAATTTATGGATTAATTGGTTTTATTGCATTTTTAATTTTCTTTTATTTATCTCTAGCTGCTGCTTCTTCTGTTACAAGTAAGTTGTTATATTCACTTATACTTGACTTAATTTATGAATTAATTGGTTTTATTGCATTTTTAACTTTCTTTTATTTATCTCTAGCTGCTGCTTCTTCTGTTACAAGTAAGTTGTTATATTCACCTTTACTTGACTTATTACATTGATTGATTGCTTTTATTGTACCTTTTGTTTTTTAATATAGCTACAAATGTGCTTTCCAGTTTAATTAGTTAATGTAATAAGTCAAGTATTAGTGAGTAAAATAAATAAGTTGTAGTGCTCACTTGTACTTAATTTATTACATTATTTGCTTTTATTGTTTTTTTACAGTAGATTTTTTGTAAGTATTACCTTGGTACATAGTTGTATTTATATATAATTTTTTTTTCAGGCTCGAAGTCATGGGAAGAATTCAGAAAGTATCGCTCCCAGCATCCAGGCCCTCTATCTTTGAGGGCCTTCCATCGCTGGTGTTTGTATGGGGACGACCATCCCTCCTTTAGATGGAGGGATGGCACCCCATACAACACGGGTAATAGAGCGGATG